CCTATGTGTCCCTATGATTGTGAGCCTTTGATCTGATGTGATTCGAGCGTATCACGTCTTCTCTCAACCCTAGCCTTCTCTTGTCTGTCTTGATGGTGTTCTTATCCAGGAGCTCTCAATGAAACGAGTCATTGAAGACAGGTATTGGATTCAAAGGTAAACATGAACTCTTTCTCTCTGTCTGACATTCCTCCTACCCCCCCCCCCCCCGGCGACTTTACGTTTTACACTGTAGTTCCGTCATTTTCACGATAAGTGAGTAAAACCGGGCTGCAGCAAAGACTACATGTACAACTTGGCGTTGTGGCGTGCGCCTGTAATCCAAGCTGCGTCACTATGGACATGCGGAAGATAGCTTTGGGCATGCGCCACTACTGTTATATTTTTCGGCACGCAGAGATTATTCTTCATTATTCTTTTTTTATTTCATTCATTTATTTCCTGTATGTCATAACAATTGACATAATGTGAACATCAGATATATGGACTTACAATCAAGAGTCACATTTCACCCCACCACCTTCACTCTCACTCCCTTCAAATTTCCTTTCTTGTAATATATTTCCATACTTCTTTCTTTCTTTCTTTCCTTTTTTTTCTTAATTTTTATATATCACTCAAATAATTTGTTTATTTAATGTTATTTTGTACATATTGCTTTTTTAATGTACTTTCGATTTGCTTGTTTGAATATGTATTATTCAAATGCTGTTATGTAAATTATTCTAATGTATTTGTAATGGACTCCGATACCCACAATGGGTTGTCGATAAGTAAATAAATAAACTTTCAAACTAAACTTTCAAACAGTAAATATGATCAGTTTACGGATAATATATAAAAGGAGCACAATAATCACACAGAGCTAAGACGAAATAATTACTTCCTTATTGTTGTTTTGGGGCTTGCATGGGAAGGGGGAGGGGAGTGGGGGTGGCAATAGCAGCCCATCTAACCAAAATATAAAGAATAATAAAGGGGAGATCGACCCCCACCCTAAATACGAAGCCGTTTTTTTTTTCTCTCCAGTTTTCTTGTGTGTGTGTGTGTAGATATCGACGCTGTATACCCAACTAGCTGCTCAAAAGAAAGGAAAAAAATAAATAAGATAAAAAATATACAAAAAAAAAAACCCTAGAAAATTACTATTCTGCATTTGGAGGGGTGCATGGTGGGGGCGGTGTGTGAGGCTATTAATGATATCATTCATAGTCTCTTTTTGATCTGTGACAGTGTGGCTGTCAAAATATTTAATTGGTATTGCAATTTGGCACACATTGGCCGACAACCACACACACACACACACACACACGCACACACACGAAAGCACGCACACAAAAAAACATGCCCCCATTTTCCACATTTTTGTTTTTAAAAAATCTGTAAATTTCTATTTGTAAATATGATCTAGAATCCCTAATAAATGTTAGGCCTACATTTTTTTTTTTGGGGGGGGGGAGGGGGGGGGGCAACTGAGTCTTAATAAAATAGTATGGGTTGAGAGGCTCCATACACCCCATTGGTGACAAATCTGAGTACCCCACCCCCTCCCCCTAAATAAATGAGTTTGCAAACAAAAGCAAGCATCTATGACACAATTGTAACATTCACAAATAGTACATGGCAATTCCACAATAAGCGACACACATATATCAACTTTGCAAATCACTAAATAAATGTATAATTCATTTATTACATTCAGAATGTTACAAATGTGGACGATCATATGGTTCAAAAGCAGTTAACTTGTTATTGGTTGCACATGGTCTTTAAATGACTGAAATAATCAATATCTAGCCCACATTACATCGGAATTGCTCAAGTACACAAAGTGCACATAATTCATACACAATTGACATTTAACCGGAATGTTAATATTTTGATTGACGTGCCTGTTCTGTATTATTTTCCGTATAACATTCAGGGTGTCCCCCAAAAATCCAGTTACTTCACATCTAATATACGCAAACTATGGATCACAATGGGAAGAGCAATCACAAAAGTTCATTCACTAGCTTTTGCTATAACAATTTTTTTGCTGCAAATTAAGGATGGTAAAAAGTAAATACCAGGCTGAATGAAGTTTTATAATTTTAGGGCGAGTTATTTCTGAATAACTGACCATAAAATCATAAAACTTCATTCAGCCAGGTATATTAAAAAAAAAAATCAATGATTTTCCCATATTATACAAGAAGTGACCCCAGCCCTTTTTGTCATCCTATATTAAGCATGTACATTTATGAGATCAAAAACTGTTTTGCTAATAGTCTAGTCATAAAGGCTACAGCTCATACCAACTCGGAATTTATATTCTGAGTAATGTTGATCTATATCTTAACCATAATTTCTAAATTTATGATTATATTATTATGTAAATTGTAATTATTCCAAGAACCCTGTTATATCATATCAGGGTAGAAAAAACAAAGAAATTATCACATGAAAAGCACAGTGCTCTTAACTCCTTTCACAAGTTTTCAATTGCATGTATTTATTTGTGAGTAATTAACTATATTCAGCCCAAGGCATTTTGTCCATTCACAGGCCCAAAGAAGGGGGGGGGGGACATATATTTGGCTTCACAGTGTCCCCCTCACGAACTCCTTTTATTATCTTCATATTTGGCATGCATGTAGAGTTCATAAAACTATACAATGTCACGGTGCCATGATACACAATAACCCTGTAAATTATTGCCTAAAATATACACACAAAAATCAAGGACAGTGCTTTTATAGGAACAGCACAATCTGAATTAACAGTGACAAAATTAAAAAAAGAGATGAAACCAGCAAATGATTTATCAACAGAAACTCACTTCATTGAACCTCAATTTTTATTTACGCGGACACACAATCTCATCTCAAAATGTATGACAGACTTTTCAACATCTTATAATCAGAACTTAGACTCAATACCAAAAACAAAAACAAAACAAAAACAAAAAAACGTAGTAAATTCATGCATACTTTAACCCTATTGTAACTGATGGAGGGGGGTTCGACCATTGATCATCAATGTTTTGCACAATAGTTATGCATTGTGCAATGGCCTTATCACACAATTTCACAAGTTGTTTTCTCAAAGTTTCAAGCAACTTTAACATGGTTTAAGACATGAACCTTTCAAACAATTTTGCCAAATAGTACATAGAATATCTGAACAAGATACATTAGTATTAAGTGATTTAGATTTTAAATATATATATATATATATATATATATATATATATCCTGTGAAGATGGAATACTTCAGTTTATCATGGCTACTGGCAGTTTCATGCAAGAGCAATCAATATATATATATTTTAGGATGCTTGCAAGCTGAGTTACTGAGTCCATTTTCTGCACAAAGTACAGTAGCATGGCATAACAATCAAGTTACATCAATTAATGAATTAACCCCAATGCACATGCCCATGAACGGTGAGTAGCTCAACTGAATAATATAAACATAACATTTAAGTTTTAACACAAATCTGATTATCTAATCTTCGAGATTACAGATCTCATCTAGGATTGGCTCTAATTTCTGTACGTCGCCTTTTAAACCCAATACGAACCAGCAGCCTTGTATAGCACCACCTCAATTCCTCAACTACTCAAATCTGGCCCGGTTACTAATCCATAATGCAACATTCTGAGCAGTGTAGTCTTATGATATAGGCCCACTAATTCACTACTCAATGCATGCATACCGTAATTATTATGTTACTAAGTAGCAAAACAAGTACTTATTTTCTCACAATGTTTCAGTTTCCCTGTAATAGGGATAACACCATGTTGCACTGTTGCAGTGCTGTCAGAGGTCACATGGTGAGTTCAAAGGTCGTTTGAGGTCATATGTTAAAATTTACCTGCAAGACTCTCTTGTGGCAAGAAATATTGGAGTCATCAACAAGCTTAAAAGCTTTCTTCCAGCACAGGCACTATCCATGTGGTATTGTGCAATAAATTTACCATATCTTAATTATGAGATTCTGGCATGGGAAATGCCTCTCACACGAGACTCAACAAAGTCATTCTACTTCAGAAAAAAGTACTGAGAATGATATGCAATAAGCCCTTTAGAGCTCATACGGATGAATAGTTTCGTCAGAAACGTATCCTTAAAGTCAGTGACCTCTACAACTATTCCATTCATTTATCAGCTAGATACAGATATTATACCTTATGTCCTACAAAATAAAATTTATGAGAAATAATACTTTGCATTCCTATAATACTAGACAATCAAATGACTATCACTTAAAGCAGAACAGTATTTTCTAGCAAAACTGTATTTTTCACAGGACCCAAAATCTGAACCGATTTAGAATACTCATCAAAAAATTTCTTCTGAATTCTTATTGATTTAATCAAATATCTCGTAAACTTTATACTTATCCACGGTAGTGTTGATTATTTTAAAGTCAATATCTACATAATTTTGTATATAGTTTATATACATTCATGTTACAATGTTTATATCTATATAAATTTATAGAATTTTGCTGATTATTTTGCTAAATTTATATCATATTACCCTTGTATAAAATCTCGATAGGGGGTCTACATCTTACAAGCTATGCTTTTCAGTAGGCCCCTCCACATTTTTTCATTTTATTGGTACGTTTCAAATCTGCATATGTTATGCAGTTGATGTATTTTTTTCAATGGAAATGTTTTATTATGAAATGTACTTTGATGATTTGTGGAATATGAATATATGAATAAATAAATAAATCAAAATAAATAACTCTGCACATGTTGCTGCAATGGCAAACAAAATTTAGGATATATTCGTGCCTTCAGAGGTCACATGGTGAAGTCATAGGTCATTTCAGGTAAAACGTTTAAAGTTTACCTGTATGACTCTCATATACAATTCTCATGGATGGCAAGGGAGATCGCGATATTTCTAGTCATTTTCACAAGTGGTCGAGACACAACATCGCTAATGCCTTGTTATTAGGTAAGGTTCATTAGCATTTAAACCTTTTTATTTTTATTTTTTTATGGATGTTGATTATCATGAAAGTGAGACTAAAAAGGGAAAAAGTATCACAAAATCAGGCAATTGTTAGCAAATAAGAAATAGCTTTCAAGGTGGTAATTTGTTTGCAAAGATATGACATCAGCAGAATTGAAAAACAAAAGTCATAACTATCCCAAATATAGTCCAAATAATACTTTTTTGGGACACATCCAGTGCATAATGACAGCTTAGGTGACTTACCAAAAGATAAAGCTGCGGCCCACTGCGGGAAAACCGCAAAACAGCATTTTATACCGGATGTACTAAACCCCTCCTAAGTCTTTGGAAGAATTATAGAGGATCGGTATATCTGGCATATAATCCCGCTGTGCCTTATTCATGCAGTGGGCCACGGCTTCTGGTATATAATCTTCTGGTAATTCGCCTGAAGATGAAGGTGTTTGGTTGAGCATACTCAATTATTTTGCACTATGTGTCTTCCCTAAAGATTGGCACATAGTCACTGCATGTCCAAGGGAATGTGGTGCAGCAACACGCTTTTTCTTGGATGGAATTATGGCTGATGAAGATGGTCTAGAAAAGGCTTGCTCTTTCATGGCAGACTGTTTGGTTGGACGTCCCTTATTTAGTTTCCTCCTCCCTCCGAGTTTCAGTCGACGGCGTGATATGGCTGAGGGCTGAACAGGGATGCTGGGGCCAGATGACTGTAGCAGTCCACCCGAGACTCCTGCCTTCGACTTCACCTTCCTTTTAGCAAGATTTACTCCGCTATACCTGCCAAACATTCGGATTGCTGATACAAGGGCACTGTCTGTTTTTAAACGACCATATGCTCTGAGCATAGCCTTGTACGATTCTACGTAGGTGGTTGGATCTTGTTTTAGTTTTTCCTCCATGTCCACAAACATATGATGGACATCCTCCAAAATCCTGTTGTCTCTCTGTGGAGCTGAAAACAAAAAGCAAGAAAAATTACCTAGTAAGACAAAATCTCACATAACAGTTCTATTTGGTTACATACTCACTATCAGTTAACTAGCATTTTACACTTTCCTTCATTAATTTAAAGTGACTGGCCACTGTCAAAGAAGTATCTACAAACAACATGTAAATACAACTCAATTCTATTTTGCTTGAGTTTTGTTTCAATTATAATTTTTCTCTGTAAACATGTTAGCCCTTAAATGTTATAATAACAATGGTAAGAAATATGTCCAAAAACATATAACATAAGAGGAGCACACATCGTCAACTTTTGTTGATGGCAGTATCCACTTGTTTACTACTGTAAGCAGGGAGTGCTGAAATGTGCGCCTTGGCGACATTCATTTACAAACTAGATATAAAATGGAATATGCTGAAAATGAAATAAAACTGTATTATACTTACTTGTTTGCTACATCTGTATCCAATCATTAATAGACAAGGTGTGAGTTAACAGATGGAAGAAAAATAAAAAAAAACAAACAGAAGAATTTGTTATGTCATGAACATTAATAATCAAGATAAGACCCCCCCCCCCCCCCCCTCAAGGAAAGATGTTGAATTGGCATAACCTGACCTAACATAATAGTACCACATACCCTGGATTTGTTTTTTATTCCAAAATATATACAAGAATCTCTGGAAAAAATAAAAACCAAAAGAAGTATGGTCCTCATTTTGGCTTATCTATTTTTATCATGCACTTGTTAAGGTAGGGCAAGCAGCAAATATGGAATTACTCCCGAGTGAAAAAAAAAATTGTAATTGTCAACCATATTTTTCAGTTGGCTGTTATGCCAATACAATTTTTTTTTTTTTTTTGGGGGGGGGGGGGGTGGTTGGTCTGACATGCAACATGCAAATTTTCTGAAACATGTACCATGAACATAATAATTTATAAAATGCAACTTCTATTCAATATATTTTATCATTAATAGTAATAATTAACAGTAACATATAGATTCTCTGCAACATACATCATCATGAATATTAATAACTATAACATGCAAATTAGATTCAACAACTGTTATCATGAATATTAATAATTAACAATAAAATGCAACATGTATCATCAGGGATAAACAATAATGTAAATTCTCAGGAAATCAGGTGCGGACACAGGGTTGAACAAGGACTGGGGGGGGGGGGGGGGGGGGGGGAGGCACAATTGGCTCCCTACTGCATCCGCACCTGTGTATCCATCCGCATGAATGTAATATGCAAATTTTCTGTAGCATGCAAATGATAGCCATTATTATGTAAACAAATTTGATTTATTCCAATGTTGTAAGATATTGAAATGCCAAGAAAAACAAAAATTAACTCTAACCACATGGAGGGGGGGGGGGGGGCCCATCAACATTTTCCACGACCATTCTGACGCGCGAAATTTTTGAACGCGGCGCTCGCTGACTTTTTACTTTCAAAAAAACATTTTCACAAAAACGGGCATACACCCTGTACCGTTACGACGTTGCACGATTTAAACAAATATCCGTCAAACCAAAAACAGCTCATTGGCTAAAATTATTTTGTTTCAGCATAATTATGCTTCGAAAAGTTTCTGCAATAAATTTTGCCCCAAAACAAACAAAAACAAAAGGTCGCGAAAGAAGAAATACATAAGAAATTAATTTTGATACCAGGAATTTTCTTCAAGTATAATTTTTTGGAATGCTACAAAGAATATTTACACCAAAAATTAGAATTCTATGAGCTTTATTTAGTGATTTAGAGCAAAAAGTATGATTTCGTGCATAAATTAACATAATTAACATAAAATAAAAAGACATTATTTCGGAAAGACTAACTTTACATTCTTGTAGATCACATCGCACACTACTATCATGCAAATTTTCGTGGAGATTGCGTGATTGGCGGTTGAGATCTGAAGGGGGGCAAAAAATGCCCCCTCCCCCCCCCCCTCCATGGACTCAAGTGAACAAAAAAAAAATGGGATGAGGGTTAAGCGTAAATAGAAAAATAGAACGATCTTATAATGCATGCAGTAAAAAATGAAAGTCATTGCTTACATTTGGTGGAGTAATGTCTATGCATTACGTTGGGCAAACTGGTTGTGTAGATCTCTCTGGGCATGCAGGCTTTCTAGCCTGACTAGTTGAGGATCTTCGATTGAAGCATGGTCATCAAGATGGCTACTAGACATTGGCTCATCTACATCAGGCTCGGGCTCATCTACATCAGGCTCGGGCACATCCTCAGCTGAGGGCTCAGATGACTGGAGAGGGCCAAGCCATCCTGATGGCACATTGCTCGTTGCTGAAATTCAATAATTATATATCACTACCCAATTTAGAAAACATTACATTGGACAACAAATGCACTGCATACTGTCTTTAAAGTACAGTTCTTCACAGGAGAGAACAACATCTACAATTCAGGAAGTTATTATTTGATTATTTGCTCAGGCTTGGTTTTTTCTATGTTCATTGTTAACCAAATGTAAGACATGACATGGTAGATCTCTTTCTGGTTCTTTTCAACCCTGTAAATACATCTTGTTCACCCAATACTCTCTGAATATGAAAAAAAAAAACCAAGGTGGTTCGCGAACCACAGGTCTCGCCTGATTTTGCGATCAATAAAACAAGGAATATGACCTTTTGACCCCTTGATAACCTTTGACATCATCATCTCTCTCTCTCTCTCTCTCTTGGTTGATCCCTCCACTTTCTTTGAAGATTTCTTGGGTGATTTCATCGTCTTACACTATAGTACAGTTACACTACAAAAAAATCCACATGTGGGACTAGTCTACATCTATCTACTATCTGTGAGACGTATGATAAAACGTTTTTTTATTTTAAATTTTTCATTTACATACCTGCAATGGATCAGGAAGCGTTGTTTGCGTAATGTCTTCCATGGCAGATTATGACATAAATCAACCATTAATGAAATATAACGTCAAGAATGCGAGAATAACCTGGCAAGTTCAGATCAGGCGCGCTGTTCATGAAGTACTAGTCTTTGCTGCAGCCCGGTTTTACTCACTTATCGTGAAAATGACGGAACTACAGTGTAAAACGTAAAGTCGCCCCCCCCCCCCCCCGGGGGGCCCTCACTCCCTCACCTCCCCTCTGTTTCTTCCCCTCTCTCTCTCTCTCTTTTTAAAATCTCTCTTTCTCCTCCCCTCCCTCCCCTCTATCCCTCCCCGCTTCTTCCCTCCCTCTCTCCCTATCTCTACTCACCCCTCTCCCTATCTCCCTCTCTCTCTCCGCCCCGTCCCTTCATTCTTTTTTTCTCTAACCCACATCCTCCCTCGATCCCGCACTCCCCCTCTCTCTCTCTCTCTCTTTCTCCTCCTCCTTTTACTCTCTTTTCTCTCTACTCCATCTCTCCTTATCTCCTTCAGTTTCCTATATCTCACTTACCAATCAGGAACCCAGTAAGTTCACCCATTGAGAGGACACTGGTATCATTTTGGGGCACCAGTCTTACAAGGTGGATGAAATACAAATTAAGGACATCGATCAGGGCGAGGTTGTGGGATGGGATCCAATCTTCTTTTTTCCGATTTATAAATATCCTCCCCTTTCATTTTCCCCCTCTTTAAGCACAAGATGGGATGGGGGATCTGGTGAAAGGAAGACGGAAAAAATAATTCTGTACGTCAGTCGCCAGAAGATGATTTTAGCTACAACATAATGAAACAAAAGGACATATCACAATAGTATTTAGATTTATTTACATTTCTTTTATTTCAATGAGCATGCTAGTATCTCTCAACATATACACAAGCTACATTTAACCTTTATGACGAAATCGAATGATTAAACATCTACGTAATTCATGATGATACTAACAGCAATATAATATGTGTGTGTAGGAGGGGAATATGCTAGGGAATGCAATTATACATCGGCCGGGCGTAGGAGTTCTAAAATGATTGGGGAGAAAAGATGACATACATAGGCATCATGATATGTGAGATGCAAGGATAGCAAAAAGATGATACGTGAAAAGAGAAAGAGAGAGCGAGAGAGAGGGAGAGAGAGAGATCGAGAGGGAAGGAGGGAGGGAGGGGTGAGGAAGAAGAAGAAGAAGAAGAAGAAGAAGAAGAAGAAGAAGAAGAAAAAGAAGAAGGAGAAGAAGAAGAAGAACAAGAAGAAGAAGAAGAAGGAGAAGAAGAAGAAGAAGAAGAAGAAGGAGAAGAAGAAGAAGAAGAAGAAAAAGAAGAAGGAGAAGAAGAAGAAGAAGAAGAAGGAGAAGAAGAAGAAGAAGAAGAAGAAGAAGGAGAAGAAGAAGAAGAAGAAGAAGAAGAAGAAGGAGAAGAAGAAGAAGAAGAAGAAGAAGAAGAAGAAAAAGAAGAAGGAGAAGAAGAAGAAGAAGAAGAAGAAGAAGAAGAAAAAGAAGAAGGAGAAGAAGAAGAAGAAGAAGAAGAAGGAGAAGAAGAAGGAGAAGAAGAAGAAGAAGAAGAAGAAGAAGGAGAAGGAGAAGAAGAAGAAGAAGAAGAAGAAGAAGGAGAAGAAGAAGAAGAAGAAGAAGGAGAAGAAGAAGAAGAAGAAGAAGAAGAAGAAGAAAAAAAAAGAAGAAGAACTAGTAATAATGTTTTTTTTTTGTGGCGGATCCATTTAGGCGGGTCACAGAGGGTAACACGTGCCCCAGCCAAACCAATTCTGGCGTACATATTTATCGAGAGTATTATAGAATATAAAAATGTGTCCCCTTGTTTTATTGCTTGTCATTTTTCAGACTTTTACCCCATTTCCCCTGTTAAAGATTTCTACCATCCACATTTTTAGGAATCATAATTTATAAGGAAACGCTTCGTTTTTCGCTTGGAAATCCACGCTACCACTCTCAAGAGTATGACTTTGACTTTTAATCTTTTCCCCTAGTTGATGTTTACAAGGTATCTTACCATCTATGTCTTGGTCCGACTGTTTCATGGCATATACCTGGCTTCATTCCATAGATGGAGGTTCAGATAGTACATTTTGGTTACAATATCATTTATGACTTTGCTAAAAATACCCCCCCCCCACCAAAAACTAAACTAGTTAATAAAATAAAAACTTGAATGATGGATTGCAAAGTAAACGTTACGAAATAGCTACACAAAGGTATATAATAGGAACGCATATGAGCCAGAGAAATCAGATAATTGATCTCAGAAATTTGTTATTTCCCAATGACGAAAATTTGAAAAAACCTCGACCTGAAAATACCGTGGTACAGTTTTTACAGAGCTATCTCGATTTCCATCTCTGAGTTTTGCTTGAAGGTATTATGCAGTCAAGCGAATAAGCCGTGTATTATGCGTTGTAATTGAGCTTTTTGTATCCATCTCTATTGTCCGTTCCTGTACCTAATGAATGAGGAACCAGGTGACGAATCAAAATAGGGGGCGTCGATTTCTGGTCAAGATTTGGGGGGTGTTCGTCTATGCTAAATACGTCCAATTTCTTCAAGGAAAAGTCATTTTCTAATGAAAAAGGAGCAGGGCAAACCGTGTCATAAGGGAGAGGGAGCGCCATTCGAGAGTGGTGGTGATGCAGATTTTTCTTCTGCCCCCCCCCCCGAACGTGTTTGCTCTTTTACGCCACTGCCTCTGTTAGGTGAGCCCCCTGGAATGTTTGCCCCCCTCACCCCCCAATCCCAAACTGCTTCCGGCGCGCCTGACATGACTTGTTAACATTTTGCATTCCAGCAACGCTCTTTGTAGGAAATGTATAGGTTGAAGCCAGGGGCGTAAATCCGTACCGAGGGGTGGGGGGGGGGGGGGGGGTGATCGGCGATAGCCATCACATACTAGCACGAGCACACGCGCGCCCACACTAATAATTTACGCAAGCGCGCGCGATCGCGCACGCACAAACACACAACACACACACACACACACACAACACACACACTCACACTCACATACTTATTATCGAACATTACTTCCTTACCTGGTATCAAAGGCAACTTGAAAGTAACACGTAGGTGTATTATACATAGATTAGTTTTGAAAACTAGCATTAATGGCAAACTAGCTAGGAAATGGAGTTAATATTTCTAAGGCTCAATGGAGGGGGTGCTAGGCTAGATAGAGAGGGTGCTAGGCTGGATGTAGTGCAAGTTTAAATGAAATCATTCTAGGAGATAGATGGAGCTAATATCTCTAAGGCTCAATGGAGGGGGTGCTAGGCAAGTTTAAATGAAATCATGCTAGGAGATATTATGGAGTTAATAATTAATGAGCGAGAACACTAACTGAAGTTCTTCAAAATGAAACATACTAGGTATGGGGCTTGTGTGATCATCACACCATTGTTTAGAACAAGATTGTTTGGAACCAGCAACCTTGAAAACTTGGCCAGTATGACGTGACATTTCGGTACTTTATAATACATTATATCTGATATATTGGTAAAGAGTAAAGATTGTGAAAACTTTATGTAAAAAAAGGTAACATTAAAAAATATGCAAGTAGTCAGGAAATCCCTTACACGATCTAGGAGTAAAGATTGTGATAATTCTCTCGCGCTCTAACTCGCCACCTCCCCCCCTCTCTCTCTCTCTCTCTCATTTAATTTTTCACGTCTAGTGACATTCCTAAACATAAGCCTGCTATATAACGAAAACTTGATATTAAAGAAGTAGGAGCAGATGTGCCAAAATAACCAAACATCATAATTCGACATGATCGGTATCAGAAGCTCCGAGAGAGATGAAATGAGACGGAGCCTACACTATATGAGATTGGAGGTGGCTTGTGTTCCAAGTATGGTACATTGCTATGCGCATTACATTGATCTACAGAAACGTATACAATGATCGAGGTGCATGCCGGGAAGGCGTATGAAAGATGACGTAATGGTATCGAAATATAAGAAAGGAAAACAAGTTCAGTTCAAGACAGTTCAAAATAATGCTGGGAAATGGAAATTAAAATGATACCGTTTTAAAAACCAGTTAGATATGGTTTTTGGACAAGAAGCATGAGATAATTCATTGCTCGGCAATCTGGACTGTATTTGAAACAGAGCATCCAATATTCCTGATATTTAATAGTATACTGTCAATAAAAAAATATAACTAAAAAAAATAATAATAATGGACCTCTTTACCAAAGGCTGTGTGTCTTTGTCGAGCACAAAATGATTCTGCTCGGGTATGCAGGCCAGTTGTTATCCCATATTGGGCTTGAATATATAGACTTGAATTGAAAGACCCTTTGTTTCACTTCGCGAAGTTTGGGCGCTTTTTTTATGAGGAATAAAACCTTGCCCATCATTGAATTCATGTTGTAAAGTTGTTTACAGACTGGAA